CTGTCTCTTATACACATCTAGATGTGTATAAGAGACAGTATATATATATATATATATATATAATGCTTTGACTTTTTAGGCCGCTGATAACCCAATCTAGTTGTATATACATGTGATTTTTTTTAATCGTTGATTTGATACATGCAGGCTCCGATTGTGTAAATATGTAAAATGTAAACATTTTGATTTAAATGCCTATATTTATGTAAATGCATGTAAATTATAAATTTATTGAAATTCTGAAGCATGTAAAAATAAAAATAAAAATGAAAAATAAAAAAGCAATAAAAATTTGATTTTAATGCCTATTTTATTTTACCTAAATGCATTAAATTATAAATTTATTGACATCCTGAAGCAATATAAAAAAAAAGTAAGGAATATTTCAGAACTTTGGTTAAAATTATTTCGATTGATGTAGTTCTTATCTTGCTTTTGTTATAACTAAAAAAAAGTAGTAGATTTCTGTTCTGTTATGTGTGCAAATATTGTATCAGCCGTACCACCGTTTAAATACAGCAACCAGGGTATCAATCCTGTGAACAGCAGAATAGGACTCCCATGGCAACAGATAGGACGCACTCTTCCAAAACTGATTACTCTGGTAATGGTAATTGGAAAAACTTTGAACCTTGACCGACGCTTCTATTTGTTACGCGTAAATCGCGGAGAACGCTATCTTGTGTTTAATTATAAGATCTTTGCTATCCATGCATAGAGCTATTAAACAATTATATCTCAAATGTTCTTTAACATTGACTAATTGTACAAAATGGCTTAATGGCTTCAAAGAAAAAAAATATTAAAAAAGATAACATAAGTTGGTATAACAATGCTTTAAGTAAATCATCCTTAAAACATTACGTAAGATACAAAAGTGAAATTAAAATGGAAAAGTATTTATTAGAAAAGTGTAACTTTCATGCTTCAAGTTTAAAATTTAAAGCTCGTTCTAACTCACTACCTCTTGAAGGAAGAAAGGAATCTTGGTCACCTCAATTATGTGACTGCGTGATAAGGAAACCATCAATCATTTTGTATTTGATTGTACCAGATTAAAGAACATTAGAAATTTAATATTTGACCAACTTAAAAAGGAGTTATACAAAAAAGATTTACATATATTTTGGGCATTATTCACATCAAGCTCCCCTGAACTTAAATACCATCTTTTGTTTGATGATTTAGAAATCCATTACGAATATCAAATTTTAACAACAAATTGTATAAACCCTATTAATTATACTATTGCGAGTAAAGTTTTCGATAATCATTGTAAATTATTTTTAACGATGGCATGGAAAGAACGAAATGAAATATATAATACTTTTCTATTTCAAGACTAATATGTCTGGTTTTAATGTTTGAATTAAATTTACAATATTTACTCTGTTATATGTATATATGTATATGTATGTGTTTGTGTATGTATGTATATATGTATGTATGTATGTGTGAATATGGGTGTGTGGGGGGTTTTTATGTGTGTGTGTATATGCATGTATGTATTGTGTGTGTATGTATGTATATGTATGCATGTGTGTATGTGTGTGTGTATATATTATATATGTATATATGTATATATATATATATATATATGTATATATATGTATATATATGTGTGTATGTGTATATGTATGTATGTGTGTATAAGTGTATGTATTAACCTACTTACTTATATTATTAGTATTAGTATTTATTTTTTTCTCTATTCCTATTTTTGTAAACCCTTTTTTATATATTTTTCGTTTACCGCACCGCAGTATTTTCTTACTATATTTTATCACAGTAATTAAGTTTTTACTGATTTTGTTATTGTTGCACATCTTTACGGTTGTGCCTCTGTTATAAAAGAGAAGCAATAAAGTTACTTACTATCTCTATGTTGCTCTCTATCTACTACGGCTGCGTCAACATACGAAGCCACGCCCCCTCGGCTGAACCAGATTTTCTTGTATTCCGCCCTCTTTAATCTATAGGCTTTTTCACTTAAATGTTTTTGTGTTATATATTAGAGCAATACATTTAATAAAATATTATGACACAATTTTATAGTTTACTATAATAAATATATAAATTTTATAGTACAGTTTTTAAAACTTTGTATTCGAATTTTTAAAATATAGTTTAAATGTCAGTTTTACAACGGAGGCTCGCTCAACTGAACTTCCCCTATCTAGCCGGTCGGTCGTCGGACCCGGCAATTTACATTTCGACGTACTGTGCTGCCAAGCCAATGCGTGGAGAGTTTTCATTCGCTGAAAGTGAGTGCTGAGATAGTCATGGCTAACAATTTGCCAAAAATATCAGGAAATATTATATTTCTATTATGTATTTTGGTAAGGTAAACTTATTCATATTTGAATATTAGTGAGATTTTCGATAGAAGTGTTGCCTTCTTCTTGCTTGGTTACTTACTAGATTTAGGCCTAGGTAGGCCCTAGCCTAGGGCCTAGTAGTAGTAGGAGGACTAGGGATGTAGGCTAGGATAGGCCTAATAAGGCCGTAGGCGCACCAGCCAGGCATAGGCTAACCTAGGCCGCCCTAAATACTTCTGCTAGGCTGGGCCTATTGGGCCCTATGCCTCCTAGCTTAGAACTAGGTCAGTTTTATAGTATCTCACACAGGCTATTCTTTTTAGTTTTTATTTTCATGATGATGAGCATTGATGAGATTAGTAAGAATTTGAAACATCCTTACTTAGGCTAGTCTAGACCTAGGCTAGGAGGCTAGGCCTAGTAGGGTAGGCTAGGCCTTTCGTTTGTTCATTCATTTTGTTCATTCATGACATGAATCACAGGAGCTACACACTACAAATAATCGTGCATATAATCGATTCTAGTTGCTTCTACTTATCGAGTCACTATGTAGTAGCTAGTGTGTATCATCTTGCTTACGTAATGTGGTAGAAGGATTTGCAGGTAGGATGGATACCTGACATGGGCTGCGACGTAAACGCTCCTTCTGTGACCGGACGGGGACTGGAAATGGACCAGTACACCGGGGTAACCCCCTAATCTTCTCGAATGATGTACAGTAGAACCTCGATTTTACGTACGGTACGGGACCGGAGGGCGTACGTAAATCGGGGAATTCGTAAAATAGAGGTTGGGTTAAATTTGTGGTAACCTTTGACCTAATACTTACGTAACGCTCAATATACGTATGAACGAACGATGTTACCTAGCTAGGCTAGACCTAGCCTCTAGGCCTACGAATAAAACCATGTGTCTAGTGTATTAATTCATCACTTTATGTCTTTTATTTAACTAAAGAACATGAAAATATTGTAAGATTACCTATACGACAAAGGTATAACTTGGGAATTCCCATTCATGCCTATTCTAAACAACAGAGCTGTGGTGTTGTCTGGGCCTGTTGAGACAAACTAAATCCATGTGCACTGGGCGAGCCAACCAATTAGCGTTCGTGTACGTGAAACAGCAAAACCATGTGCACTGCACTGGGCGAGCCAACCAATTAGAGTTTCATGTACGAAACTATGCTAACTCAGCTTCGTGTAGAAAATTAGACCAGACAAGTTTTTCCATGGTTTGCCACACGAAGCTAAGGAGGAAAGCAATTATTTTGAGTACCATCGGTAGTTGTTCATCTCACTCAGTTCACGTGGTTTTAGATTATAACAACCCAGTATTAGACTCAATCAACGTTCTGTTTAATGAAAATACGTTGCATTATGGTTTGTTTATTGTTATAGATTATTGTTATAGTCTTTTTACTTATGGTTGCTCTGAAAAGGGCCGTTTTGAATATTTTCGGGGTTTTTGATGACGTCATCGTCGATACGAGGCGTACGTAAAACCGAGGGTTCGTATAACTGGGGTACGTAAAAACGAGGTTCTACTGTACTGGGTTCTTTATAGTGCACACGAGCCAATTGTGTACACTGGGCCTACGGTTTATAGTCCTTATCCGAGAAGACTTGTTCCACCACCGGAACCATAGGCGAGCGTGCCGTTCGAACCAACGCCGATATTATGGCTGTATGTCACGGTTCCCCTGTCTTAACCGTTCGGCCAACCGGCTCACCTTCTAGTTGCTGTTAGGCTGGAACATTCGTAGCAAGGTCACCGACGAGCAGGTTAACTGCAATAGGCCTACTGTGGTTTAGTTTGTATTATTATTTTTCAGATCAAACTTGCTAAGATTTAAAAAAACATGTACATGCTGACAGCTGCCACATGTGCAGCTCTTAGTCTTATCTGTGTATTGTTATAGATTTGTGTGAATGGCCTGAAATGGGACAGGACAGATTGTTTGTTACAATTTTCCATCCAGGCGCCTCAAAAAATCTGGAAGAATGTTATTGTAGCACCATCCTCTAGTTGTGTTACTGTACCATTAAGGGCATTTTTTATTTCTATTTTATGTCAATTAAATTTAAAATAATGTGAAATAACAATTTTACACTAGAATAATTTTTCTACAAATTATTGAAGAAGGGGTTGCCTAACTTCGAAAGCAACATGCTCGTGAATCTTTTTATTCAAATTACTGTATGTTACAGTAATACATTAAAGTGGAAGATAGCAGCAGTATATGTAAGTGAACTTATGACCATTTCATTGAGCGCCCCTGATAAAAATGTTCACTAATTATCAGAATATTTAATAGTGACTGTGTTAACCCCCAAACAGCAAATCAAAATTTAAGTTTAAAAAAAAATATGTAATATGTAATATACAGTATAATCCACTTTCTATTATATTCTTTATCTTAACTGCTTGTGTAAACAAAATTAATGGGTCAATTATTACTTAATGTTACAGTATACTAATATTATAATATTAATTTTTGTATTTTAATAATAATAATAATAATAATAATAATAATAAAAATAAAAAGTCTAATAGTGCATAATACAGTAAAATTGTCTCTATGCTCACAAACATAAAGAAAAATAACCATGAAATATCCTAAAAGCTACACTACAAGGAAAAACTGACAAAGAAAATGGCAAAAAGGCAGAGGAATCATTTTTGCTGCTCTGTTCACTTTGTCATTATTTATTTGGCCTACTGGGCTAAAGATACATAAACTAATACAATATTAATTGCGTAGGTGTAGGTGATACCTAAAAAACTGTCTCAAATTTGTGCAGAAAATCGCTAGGAAAATAGGTGCGCAGAATTGTAACTACTGCATAGTACCTGTACATTGGTCTAAATAGGCTTATAAGATTAGGTCAAAGCCTACTGTACTCTATGGCAAAGTCAGCCCTCATTTTCCGAAATGCACGGACAGATTTCTAGGCCTAATAATCCAGCACAGTGCAAGGCATCAAGACTTGCCTACAATAGTGAAATGGTTATGGCAGACGGTGATGACAAACGTTGTTGCTTTACTATAGTCCTTCTGGAATAAGCCTACTGCACTGTAAATCCCCTTGAACATAAAATTGGGCCAATTTTTGGGGGTTTGCTTTATACCCAGAGGAATCCCTTTTTTAATCAAATGGCAATTTTTGGCACTGTACTGTATGCCTTGAGGGTTTTTTCTGAGAATATTTGTAAAATTCATTACCTGGCCTTTTGCCTGAGAAAAGGCTACATAAAATTCAGATTCAAATTCAGATCTTAAAGATTGCATCATGATTAATACTAATCATTGATTCAGATCTTAAAGATGGCACCATGATTTATAATTATCAACGATTAATCAGGTCTGTCACCCAATGACATGTGACTGACAACACTGTAAAAGCTGTATTTTTCACATGTCCCTGTTGTAGCTACTTTTTCCCAGCTGTTTCCATACAATACAACAATGTTGTGATGTCATCACATCATCTTATTTTGTCTACTACACTGTACAGTACCTCTTACATACCTTCCTGGCTGTACCTGTCATTTGTACTGTAGTATTCCAGTGGTTAAAACCAGCATCATAAAACAAAACAAGGAAATTGACTTTATTACCTGTATTCATATTCTCCACATTAAAAGTTTTAAGATGATGAGAATCTAGAAGTGACAATTATTATTTGCCAAAGTTAATAGTAAAAGCACGGCTTCTGCACAAAAGTATAGGACACTGCTGCATTCTTATGCTACAGTACTTTTTAATACTCAATTTAAACATATAGCGACAGTACAATATACTGCGATTGTATTATACTCTATTGAGATATAAGATAAGTGTACAACTTCACTCCATACTTTATTTCATCTTGTAAGTTGAATTATAAAACAAGTTGGTTTGTACAGTATTGTGAGATAAATTGATAGCTTAAAGATCTAAAAGATTACAGTTCAACTTGCCTAAGTCGACTTTGAGTAACTCAAATAATTTTAAGTCGATGTTAGTTTACATACCAAATTGTTATGTTTTTCCATTAACGGTATAGTACTACAGTAGTCAAATTTTATCTACAGTACAGACTGTAGTCGAAAAATTTTTTAGTGCCATTTTGGATTCGACTTAGGCAAGTTCAACTGTATTGTGCTTAATGTTAACTGACGTGTTGAAAAAAATGGTGAGGTTTTTAAACTGTCAGATTATGAAGGTAAGCAATCTTTAGATTTCCGTAATAAGATCCAGTCTTCGATTATGTTGTTGAGATAATGGTATTAAAACCTCTATAAATTATTCGTACAGTATATCGTTTTGTTTGAGATTCTACTAAATTTGCTAGCTTGCATTTAGTAATGAGCTGAATGTTTGTACGTGGCAACAATATAAAATTGTGTTTATTCCTCTGTATAGTAACAGCTGCTGCCAGCTTCAGCATTATCATGAATGAAATCACATCCTTAACAGTATGCTCTACTTTAATTCCTCGCAAATCGTAATTGAATGTTACATAATTATTTTGATTGTCATGCAAATCCAAAGGGGCATGCCCCTTCCTGTCAACCAAAAGTTCCTATAAATTGCATAGTGAGTATTTAAATTTTGGTAACTCTTGGGTTGGTGAACCATCCAACAGAGTCAATTTTCAACCTACAACACTTTTTTTACACTTTATGAAGTGATGAAATGTTGCCATGTCAAACTTTTTTTTTTTAAAATAATTATGATAATTATCATGAATAATGATTGATTGCTTACTAAGCACACATAATTAGATATTTCATATTCATATATTTTGGCTTTATACTGGGGGTACACTAAAATTCAGTTTCTCCCTTACTGTAGTAGCATCTGTAGGACCTCTTGATGAGGCTTAGGGGGTGTACAGTAGTTGTATTAGTCATGATTCTACTGTCTGAGGACTAGAACCCAGAACCCTGTGATTGCAGGCATTCTTACCCACCAAGCTATTAGCTCATCCAACTACTTACTACTACAGTATTTTCATAGATTTCCCACAACAAAGGTTCACAAAAACCGAAACAAATTAGACCAGTGGTACTAGAAAAATAGCAAAGTTATTGCTATACAATAATGATAGTATTAGTACTGTACATCAAGACACAGCTCAAACAAGTTATCAAGATACTCAATCAAAAATACAAGCGTTTGGACATGTCTTGTATAATTTAAACTTGTGATAGAATTACAGTAGAAGCAGACAGGATACTGTATTCCAGAAACCGGCAAAATGGAAAGAGTTCTCACCACTGTGCCTTTATAAACCTTGACTAAACTGTTATATGGTCAAGATTTAACGTTGGATAGCAGTATCCACTTTTAGTGTTTTGTGCACAGACTTGACAACAATGGTATTTACCATAATAAATTTGTACAGTATAATGGTGAATAGTCATTACTCAAGCCATTATTTATACCATGGAGGAACCCCAGATGCTTTAATACTTCAGCTTGCATCGATGACCTGTGAGTTGGTTCATTGTCTGGGACTTGTCCAAAACAAGAGCCAGCTGTTGGATTGCCTTTTAACTACTGTATTAATTATGTTAATTTCAAATTTAAACTTTACACTATATATTGATATTTTTATTCCATTTTGTACAATGTCAATATTGTAAATTAAAAAAGCTTTGCTGGTTATTTAGGTGTTGTTTATATTGTACAGTACTTTAAAAATAAAGACTTCCTGTATAAAGTGTATCTATTGTTAATTAGGGCTGTTTTAGTACTGTCTTTTATTTGTCTGTATACCGTACTCGCACGAATAAGCGCCCGGGCGCTTAAAATATTTTTAGCACTTTTTGAGGGGCGCTTATTCGAACGGGGCGCTTATCAAAACACAGTGGAAATTGAGGGGGCGCTTATGGAAATAGATGAAAATCGAGGGGTTATTATGACAACTTACTAAATTTAAAAGGCACATTTTGAATAAAAAATGATTATATAAGGACATCAGGAAACCACAAATTACGAATGGTGGTGCGGCAGAAAAGATAATCGTCCATTATCCATAATGTTGTGAGTATATTATTACATAACAGCAGAATAGCAGATGAAATTAGTGGTGGTGGTTACTTGTTGGCCATGCCGATTGAGCAGGATTGCATGATCATTGCAGGTTTTCTTGAAAACTCAGATGGGAATGTGTTGTTAGGTGCAAATTGTCGGAAAAGCAGTAGGACTAGGCTGTAGAAAATAGTAAGAAGATGAAAGTTGGAAATATACCGTCTGTCCAGAGAGCTCTCATCTGTCCAAGATAAAAATCCTCATTTTGATATTGACTAAAGGAGAATGTGATTCCACTCCACACCTCAAATCATGCCAACATCCACAGTCCAGAATTGATTGAATTATTGAGGGGGCATTTATTCAAATTAAAAGGGGCGCTTATTTAAAAGGGGTGCTTATTCAAATGGGGCGCTTAAGGAAATTTTCATGTTGGGAGGGGTGCTTATTCAAACGGGGCGCAAGCACGGTACCATATTTTTATTAGTTATAGTATTTAGTAGATTGTAAGATTTTTTTTAGATCATGGAAGCTATTCATTCATTCTTAATGTAAAACAATTTCCAATCAGGAAACCTTCCAACATTTGATATTCATTCACACTGTTCTTAAAGCCGTGGACTCACTGTGACTCACTGCCGATGTGATACCATGAAGAACGCCACAGGATGACATGCGCAACAGATTGTTTTTAATGATGATCCTTTCAGATTGCCACCGGCAATCTGCAGACAGCATCTAGTCGTCTAGCACTTACAGGGGGTGGAGTTGGATTCGTACAATGCAGTGAGTTGCCATCTTAAGAGTGAGCACTGTGAAGGCAGACCTACAGTACTCACTGGACATCCAAAAGCAGTATTTTTCTCAATGCACTAATTGTGTCCTTTCTAAATACAAACCTCTGCTATATTTCTTATTTTAAGAATGATTTAGTTGAGTATAAATGTCTTTTTATTTTCTGATTAATTTTTCTGATTGATTTTTGTAGTTTCATTATGAAGGATAGGGAACAAAATCATGTTTACATTGCAGTAGGCTTTTGTCGATTCCCATATCTCTGGTTTTGTTGGGTTTGTTTTTATAGGTATTATGCAAATAGGGCAATTTGATCAACCAAAAGGTGGAGTTTACTGTAGAGCACCGTAAATTAGCATAATTTGCATAACTTTTAGTATAAATTAGGATATGAAGGGATTTGTGCTCTACTATCCTATAAAAGTCCTAAAATATACTGTAGTTTTAAATATCCTTCAGGGCAAAAATAGATACCTTTTTAAAATTCTAATCACAATTTTTAAAATTCATAGTTTTTAAAATTATAAAATTTAATTAATTAGAAATTACTTGTTTATGTACGTCCGTTACAAAAAAATGGAACTTTTATTTATCCTGTGCTTAAGGGGTGTCCTAAAATAACCATGTTACTAATTTATCGATTGAAGGGTATAAGTAGTTAGCACACAATGGTAAATGACAAAAAAGATATTCTTATTAACTACAGTCTAGATCATTAATTACATGTACGTCTGTCACATACGTATTGTGTACATCCGTCACATACAGAATACTAGGCTACAGTATAAGGTAACAACATTACAAGGCTAAATCTATTCATGATTAAATAAAGATTTTTATTATACTGTAGCAACATTTTCTATCATATTACAAATATATTTTATCATATTCATGCATTTAACTAATTAACTTTGACTTTAAATAATGATATACTGTACGTGATTGTACATCTTGTTTAATTTCTAATAATCAATTTACTGGGATGCTGAAATAGATACCATATTTTACATATTTAATAACTACAGTACTCTCCAGTATTTACTTTGCTACAATAATTCTCAGGTAAATAATATCAAATTAATAATATTAATTAAATGAAGGAACTTAATTATATTATTAACATAATTTACAATGTTGCTACAGTATAATATTACAGTATCTAGTCACATAAAATTTATTGATAAATTCAGGTCCAATTTTTAATAATTTCATCAAATTGAATAGTTTAGTCTACTTCACATAAATTCAGGTTGATGTTCATAAATCATCAGTTAGTCCTATAAAAATGGGATTAGCAAATCCTACACCAGTATTATGTTTTGAAGTTAAATAATTGTTTTTGTAAGGTAATTAATTAATTATGCAAATAACATGCCAATTTACTGTTTATGGTACCAGATACATGTTTTGTGATGTGATGACTGTGTTTGTACAGTAGAATTAGAAGTGCAACTTAGATGTTCCTGATTGGGTCACTGTATAAACAAGTATGAAAAAAAGATGCACGTGAGGAAACACTACAGAAACAATAATAATTTTGCAAAACTTGGTATTATTTACAAATGGTCATAGTTTCAAAGAAATCTACAGATACTGTAGAAAATGTTTTACTTGTTTTATATGTTTTATAACTCAAAATTTGGATTGGAACACTCAATAATGATTAAAGAGGTTTTTACAATGTTTTTGTTTGTTGATTATCAAAGTAAATCAATTACAGAAAAATATATCTTGTTTTCCTATTCTTTATCATTGTGTACGTCTGTCACATTCACAAAAGAACGTCCGTCACATTGTAAATGTACGTCTGTCACAAAACATTTCCGCCATTTTGACAGACCATATGCGTCGTCCAATTTTTAATAATTTCATCAATGAATAGTTTAGTCTTCTTCACATAAATTGGTGACTTTTTAATGAAGAAGACACTTCAGAGAAATATATTTATTTAAATTTCCACCTCAAAAAATCTCATTTTCTGCGTACATCTGACAACTTTTCCGCCATTTTTTCTGCAACCACTAATGTTAGAAAAATAAGAGTTTATATGACAGTTACTATAGTAACTGGAATGTTTAATATTGAGATAACATGAATCTAAATATAACCTTACTGAATAATATATTATGCAAGGAAGTATATTTCTCAGAATCATATCAATTAAACTGTTTATCCTGGTTATGAAATGTGTATGAGGAGGAAACCATTCAGCAACAAGGCGCACTGAATAATTTAAGATTTAGAATGCATATTCTATGTAGATTTTACATATAATTATTTTAAATTAATTTACAGTCTGTTGAACTTAAATTATAAAATTCTTAGTTTGCCTATTGACGTTGACATTTTATTAATTCAGTTATATTCATTATACATTTTTTTTTCATATTTTGGGATATTTTTTCTTTATTTTCTTTTTGCTAGACAAGTGTAGGCCCTACAGTATTTTAGAATGAAAAATGATCTCTTGTACTTTATGGCTGTGATGCGTCAGTATCAATTACTGTATCTAAATGTTTTTACTGATATTGTATAAAGATAATTTGAAAAGTTTTTGAGGTCTATATTTTCTTTCAGGTCACCATGTTCTCCTGTCCAGAGAGCAGTTCATCAGTTGTAGGTTTGAATCAGGGAAATGTTGATACAATCTTAAATGGCAATCAAGTTGTTTTTGTTAATTTTTATGCAGATTGGTAAGAAATCTTTGTACACATCAATTTTTTTAAATAATAATTATAACTCTGGATTTATATAGTGCTTCACGTTGTTACAACCTCGAGGTGCTTTACAACATTTAGAGAAGTAATTCAACCAAAAATTAAATTATCTGTAATAAATTAACTGACTGTAATACATTAACTTATTTAATTTACATTATATACTGTAATGTTTATATTAAATTAGCAGAGATTTGTAAATAATGCTTTATTAATTCAACTTACATAATTATTTTTATTCACGATAATAATAATAATGGTAGACAATATATAGCGCATATTGTTAAACCCTCTATACGCTTTACATTATCATTACCCCGGTCATTACGGTAAGATTAAACGCTTATGGGAAAACTCAAGCTCCCTGGGAAGTACTCCATAATGTTGCAGCAGCTACTGTACATCAGCACATGGTCATGGTTTTGGCATTTAACCCTACCAGGTACACACACTTATACTCCTGGGTGGTGAAAATTGATGCAGATAAAGTGCCTTGCCCAAGTGAAATGCACAGCGTGAGGAATTGAAACTCTGACCTCGAGGTTGGGAAACTAAACCGTTCCCACTGTGCCAAACCATTTCATTTTCTCCCGACTTGACTATTGCAACACTCTTTTATTTAACATTCCTAAAATCCAAATTTACAGGCTTCAACGACTACAAAATTCTGCTGCACGCATACTAACATTTACTAACAGACGCACTCATATAACCCCCATTTTACGTGAACTTCATTGGTTGCAAATTGATGCCAGAATTCAATATAAAATTCTTTTACTGACTTATAAGTCACTGACTCTCAATCAACCCGCATACATTAATCAACTTCTTCCCAAATATATGCCAGGCCGTTCCCTACGTTCATCTGATCTCAATTTAATTTCTGTCCCTCGCACCAACACTAAGACCTTCGGACACAGATCATTTTCATTTGCTGCAGCCACACTCTGGAATGCACTACCACTTCACATTAAAAAATCAACATCAATTGCTTTATTTAAAAAATCACTCAAAA